GCAATGTGTTAATTATTGAAACTGTCCTACCAATTTGGTTTGAAACTGTCTCATTGCTATTTGTTTCTCAATAAAATTGTGGAAAAAATAAAATAAAATAAAATAAAATAAAAGATACCTCATTTAAAAAGAACCCAATTCTTGTGAATTGGGCTCACTAATATCTAGCTCAAAATCATTAATATCTAGCTTAAAAACACATAAAAAAGAAATTTATTTGGTACAGGATCTTGTAAATAAGTAAAAATACATAAATTAAATAAATAAAAATAGTGAGACCCTCTTTCTAAAATGCCAGCTATTGAAAGATCAGTGTCAGCAAACTGCATGTCAAGACTTCAAAGAGCTTTAAGGGCTGCTTCTCCCCTGGACATGACAGACGCTTCTCACAGGAGGACCTGAGAAGCTGAGCAGACTTCGTAAGACACTTAGAGGACTACGAAGGAAAACCCAATGCTATAAAGTTGGAAGCTTCTTAAGCTACCAGGCTTTGAACTGCGACTACAAAATGTTATGGGTAGGATTAGGGACAGAATATATTAGAAGAAAGTCTTTCAAGAACTGAACCCCAATTGAATCTTCCTAATTTCTCACCAGCGGATGCTCTAGGGTTTTTAGTGCCTCTACCTAGCACCCTACCAGGAACAAGCACACAAACCACCATCCCAGATGTAATTAATCTGCACTACTAAATAAAATAACTAAAACCCAAAAGGAAAAACAGTCCCTACAGGAATAGTGAGATTACATCAGACAAAAATTTTAAAACAGTTTACTATGTGTAAGAATGACACAAGATTCAGAATTGAACCCAAGAACCAGAATAGAAAAGCAAATGTATTCCTACAAAGTGAAAAAAAAAAAAAATTGCAATTAAAATTTAGCCCCCAATGGATGACTTTAACAGTGTATCAAAACTGGTGCAGAAAGTCAATCAAGGGTCTAGAAAATTGGGGGAGGGGGGAGATGCCTAAAGTACAGAGATTAAAAAAACAGAAAACACAAAACAAATTAAACACGTTTAACAAATATGCACCTTAGTATACTAGAAAGAAAGGAAGACTAAAAAAGAAACAGTATTTCACAGGATAAAAGCAAACATTTCTGAATTTAGCAAAGAGGTCAAGACTGAAAAGCACCATGACCCTAAGGAGAACGAGAGCCAGGATGACTGGGGCAGGGGCACCAACTGAAACAACAGTAACAACGAAACACCCCATACTCCTGATTTCTGGTGATATATGATGTTTGTTCTGTGGTTCTGTTTAAACAATTACTTCCTTCTAAAAGAAACTCAAGTATTTAGAGACTAAAAACTCATCAAAGACAACTGTGAAGCTGGGCTCTCATCCTCATTCTGCCTGTCTACTCTGGGCAAGTTGCTCCCTCATCTGTGAAAATGAAGGTACAAGTGGATGTGGTGGTGCACAGCTGCAATCCCAGCACTCCGAAGCTGAGGCAGGAGGATTGTCATGAGTTCAAAGCCAGGCTAGGCTACACAGTGTGTTCAAGACCAGCCTGATCTCCATGGTGAGACCCCATCCCAACCCCCAACCCCTCACACAAGTGAAGATAGACTCGCATATCCCAGACAGTAACTTCGCCATTTCCTTTTTCCCCTGGTCACACAGCCAAACCATACTTCCCAGTATCCCCTGTAGTTAATGTGGGCTCATGACTGAGTTCTGTTTAATAAGACAGAGGATTAAGTATCATAAACCACTTCCAGGTGAGGCCAATACTGTTCCTTTGGGTAAGGCCCTCTTTTTCCCTATAAGCCAAATGATGTCAACATCCTGGGCAACTCTGGAAGATCCAACCCAAGGATGGCAGACCCTTACCAACTCGGGTCCCTGAAATAAAGCATCATCACCTTCTCATAGCTCAATTTACATGAATAAGAAAATAATTTCTGGGCTGGAGAGATAGCTCAGTGGTCTAAGCTCCAGCCGCCAACGGCTAAGTCCTGAGTTCGATCCCCGGAACCTCATGCCATGCCAGCCCTGGAACATACGGTCAATGTGCCAACCGCAAAACCAGGTGGGGCGGTGCACACCTATAATCCCAGCACTGGGGAGGCTGAGACAGGAGGATCACTATGAGTCTGAATTGCTTAGGGAGACCCTGTGACAAATAAAAAAATTAGTTAATTAAGTAACTTTGATTTGATTAAGCTCCCAGAGCTAAGGGGGTTTTCTGCATCAACAGGACTTTATAATCACGTGGACTTAAAATGCTGTGATCCTATAAACACAACTTTCTATGATAGGTAATATACTTTATGCAGGAGGGCCGCCTCATAACTGTGAGCGCATCCTGGGCCACACACTGAGACCATATTTCAAAAAAATCCATTAATAGTGCCAGCCAAATAGCCCAGCAGATTAAAGAGCCTGCTTAGGCAGACACAGGGGTCAGAGGTTCAATCCCTGGCCTGCCATGCTGGCCTCGCCCCCAGGGCAAGCTGAGACAGCAATTGAGACAGCAATTGAGACGGCGTGGTGGCCTGCACCTGGTGGGAGGCTGAACACAGGTGGATCACTACAAGTCGAGACCCTGCATACCCTGTAGACCCTTACTAAAATTAAAAAAAAAAAAAAAAAAGTCTATTAAAGATAAAAACAATATAATAATATTGTACAAGAAACAACATTTCACAAAATCTAATTTTTCGCTTCAGTGTCATTCTGGTGTTTAAACAGTTTTAGGAACTGGAGCATTTCACATGCTCCTTTGGTTAGGTATGCTCACTTGGTGTTAAATAAGCCACTCATGATTTAAAAACTTCCCTCAGAAAAAGGGTAAACTGTTCCTGTTTTGAAAATCTGTAACATATATATTTTGTTGTTGTTGTTTTGTGGGGTTTTTTGTACTTTTAGGGAAGGGTTATAGGGTGTCCAGGGTCTCACTACTAGATCGGACTGGTAGTGATCCACCTGTTTACAGCCTCCCAAGAGCTGGGATTACCAGCACACCAGCACGCCCAGTCTCAATTGCTGGCTCAGTGCGTCCTGGGAGGTGGGGCAGTAACATGTTTTGTTATGTCAGCCTGTTTCTAACTTTTTTCTATTCATTTCTGCTTACTCTTCAAAATAAAATAAAATTAAATTTTAAAAAAAGTAAAAAAAAAA